GTTTTGTTTTAACTATAAGATATAATTTAAAACTTTGTTAATACCCAGGTGAATCCAAGTACATTTTGCTGTATACTCACATGCACCACGTGTACAGAAGCTAGCAGTAAGATGTGTCTTTGTTTATGGTCACCATCAGTCACTTGTGCTGCAGTCTGGACTCCAGGCTCCTGGCAGATTTATTCACATCATTTGCCTGTTTTTGTTTTAAAGAATGCTTTGAAAGCATCAACATCAGTTTTACGAGTCTGTGTTCCACCGAGCAGCATTTCCCCCCCCCCCCCAACCCCATATCTTACAAATCAGTTTTGATATGTGCGCCCGGTGCATTTTGCTAAATGTGTGTTTTCACTGCTGCAGCCCAGAACCGTCTCTCCTCCTCTGTGCTGGCGTTCATCAAAGTCCTAGACATAAACGACAACGTGCCAGGACTTGCCAGAGATTATCAGCCGTATATCTGCGAGGGAACGCAGGCAGGAGAAGTATGTATATTCACTCCGGCTCAAGTTTACGGTTGGCTCTGTAGCAGTGAATTTGAGTGAAATTGGTCGATAAAAATTCTCTGAAAACCACAGGGCATCAAATCATTTTCCTTTATCTCAACAAGATTTCTTGCAGAGATCCTTGAAACACATAACTGCCTGTGTACATTAATATATTTATGTATAAATATACGTTGCCGTTGGTCTTATTCACTCTGCACTCCACCTTTTCATACGTCAGGTTATTCAGCTGCTCAGTGCCATTGACGCCGACGACCCTGTGGAAGGACATCACTTCTACTTCTCCATGGTCCCCGACAGGAACATCAATCCAAACTTCACCATCAGAGATAATCAAGGTGACGTCTGACAGAAAGGAAACCCACACAGGGTTACCAACGCTGCCACTTAGTACACTCTAAATACTGCTGTGTATTTACAGTATATGCTGCTGTTATTGTCTATGACGGCTCTAAGGCCTCAACCATTCACACAGACGCGGCTCCTTTGTGTCCTGCTTTTTCAGCCCAGTCTTTTTTCATATGATTCAAACTTCTTGCAAAATCACCAGGAGAAATTCTAGATATGTTTCATGTCCAGGGACACATCGGCATGAAATCCCCAATTTTTGTTTTTTTGGTAAAACACAACTCAATCCGATGTCTTTAGCCTTTCTCCCCAAATCACCCCCTCGCCCCCACCCTTTGTCTCTGACTCAATTTTTTGGAGTTTATTTTTTTTACTTCAATTTTAAAGCAGGCTCAGCAAATTGGAGAGGAAGAAAATCACATTACTTTTTACATTACTTATCAAAAAGTAGATTAAGTAACACAGTCTAAATGTGCGCTTTGTTTAAAGCGGTTGTTCAGGGAGTGGGGAGTAGCGCTTTTTGTTTGTTCAGCTTTATTGAGACGGAATTGGAAAAGAATGTTTAGGGACAGAAACCTATTTGTATTTGCTGCAGCTGCAGTGTTGTTGTCAAATAGTGACATAAAATAACTGGCCAAAAGCTCAAGATTTAAATTAATGTTAGCTTAAAATGTGCAAACAATTAAATACATTAATGTTAATTATATGAATGATTATATCATTAATTTACAGCAGCAACTTACCCAACTGCTAATCTGTAGCAAAACTATTTTTAGCCAATGTTTTTAGAAACATTTGGGTACATTTAGCATAATAAGCTCAGATAAAAATGACAAAACATCACATGTTAGCGTTAGATTGAGAAAATCTGTTAAATATGTGGAAACTACAAAATAGGTGAAAGGTGAAAACATAACTAAGCTAGTAAAAAATATGAAAAAAATGTAAACTAAGAATTTAGTAATATGCTAAAAGCTGTCGTATTAGCTAATACAACCAGACGTTAGCTAAAATATGCTGAACTTCAACAAAGTACAGGGTAAATTAAAGTGGCATAAGCTCACAGTGCTAAAGCCTTGAAGCAGAACCGTAAGAAAACCCAGACTGTTGTCAGGTCATTTTTCCCGTCAGCCTCCTGACACTAAGAGCAACATTAGGGCAGTTTCTCTGTGAGTGAAGCTGAAGTCCACGTTAAAAAATAAAAAGCACTTTTAAAATTAGAAACTAGACTTTTGTAGAGGATGAGCCTTGGGGTAAATTCATAGTTGTTGAACTCAAGGCCAGGAGCTAATGTTTAATAAAAACCATCAGTGAGTTTTTTTTAAGACAAATATGACAATAAACTGATATAAGCAGCTGTAAACTGGCAGAGAAAATACAAACTTTATTTTACAACAGTACCGGACACCGGTCAAGACTAGAACTTTAAAACATGACAATTAGGATCAAAATAGCTTAATGCTAACACAAGGAAAATAAGATGTTCCCTCAAAATTTGGCCTTTTTTGCCAAAGATAATGGGGAAAAAAATAGATGAAATATTTGGGAACGAGTAGCGGTGGAGTTCTTTGTGTTTGTGTTGTAATTTCTGTGTTGACAACCTCTGGAAAAAAGTCAATCTACAGAGTGTTTATGTTAAGCACCGGCCTTTCCTGATAGCTGCGAAGGAAAGTAGGGGGTGAAAATGGAAGGCAGCGTGTTGTTAAATCATGCAGCGGAGGGATTGTTTGAAGGTATTGAATAAAGTGGAGTGAAATGTGTGCGGCTGTGGCGTTAGCCTGTCCAGTCAGCAACAGGGAGATGAATAATGAATCAAGAAGGATCTCCTTTAATAAAACATATTTCCATTTACCACCAGGTCTATTCCACTCTCCTCTCCAAAAAAAAAAAAAACTTCACTGTGTCTTAATAAACCCTTGCAGGTTTGGCCCTAAAGTGAAGGAGATTTTTTCCAGATTTACTTTTCGTACACAGAGAAAATTACATTTGACAAGGTGCTCAGGTCGTCCACGGAGCTGGGATTGGGTTTCAAATCCCATTACGTGTGTCACTTCACTTGTTATTCATCTTATTTTTTCAATACCTCTACAAAAAAACACCCACTGGTTTGCACTCACGCAGCAGAGAGCACTTTTGTTTTTCCCTTTTCTTTTTTTTTCTTCCTCTCATCTTTGAAGAGTCTGTTAAAAAGTGCACTTCTTCGTCTTGGCTTCACTTCCTCACTCCCAGACAATACAGCGGAAACCCTGGCTCGCAGGAGCACTTTTCCCCGTAAAGCCAGAAGCCAGTACCTGCTGCCGGTGGTGGTGACAGACAGCGGGACTCCAGCTCTGTCCAGCACCAGCACGCTGACCATCACCGTCTGCACCTGCCAGCCACAAGGTCACTGTCCCACGGGGGGGGTGGAGGCCCTGGCTCTGTCCATGGGGGTCAGTATGCAGACGCTGTTAGGACTCCTGGTCTGCCTGCTCACCCTCACAGGTGAGAAGATGGGGATAAAACCTCTTTATTATTATTATTATTATTGTTGTTGTTATTATTATTATCTCAAACATATCTTAAAATGTTAAAGATATTAATTCAGACGCCACAGACTGATGATGGAAACTCCCACGGTACAATGAAAGTTTTTGTCAGTAAAAGCAAAACAAATAGATAAACTATAAATCTTAAGAAAACACAACGATTAAAGTAGTTGAAAACTATAAATCTTAAGAAAACACAACGGTTAAAGTAGTTGAAATGTGCTTCAATCTGTCCAAAAATTGTCCTAAAAACAAAGTAATCTAGCAAAAGCAGATGGCCATAAATATGTTTGACTTGAAAGATTAAGTTATCTGCAACAGGTGACCAAAATGATTGATATTATATATATATATATATATACCAGGTGTAGTAACAAGCGTGCTCGAAGAAGATGCATTTTGATTGACAAAATCATCAAAAATAAAGTTATAAAAGCAACGTAGCCAAAAAACAACTATATATGTTAAGAAAAACAAGTTAAAGCTTCATCTTAGTAAAGCACCTTCCTACAGCCAAAAAACAACTATATATGTTAAGAAGAACAAGTTAAAACTTGCCATGAAAAAGTTACACTTGGCGCAAATTACTCAAATAACCCAAAAAGTGAATTTTATTTTTCTTACTCGTTACCTTTGCTACTTTTTTTTACTCAGTGCTCGTATTGACTAAGTTTTGTAATTTTCTCAAACCATTTTATTCAATTTCATTTCAGCTCTGGGGTCTGTACGCAGCACAAACTTCATAGTTTTGGTAAAATACAAAAATATTGACTCAATAGCCATCAATATTTAACTTTTAGCAGGCGAGAACTCGGTAGAAAAAAGAATTGGTATCAAACCTCCGACCTCTGGACCTTAAAGACCACTGAGTCTGGAAAGAACACAAGTGCAAAGGTCGAGCTGCAGTGGATGTTTCCACTGTGGAAACTAATACATTAGAGCAAAGTGAATAAACAACACTGGTATTATTCCACTGTTTGTTTGTTTTTTAATTTCAAATACAGCAGAAAATCACCGGCATGTTGTTGTAAAAAAAATTGTTCTTTTGCAGCCGATGTTGTTGAACGTGAGCACTTTCACCTCTCCTCGTTTGGGCAAGTATTACAACGGATTCTTCTATTAACAAATCTGCAATTTGAAGTAAATTCCCATTATAAAATAAAATAAAAAAATAAATAACTCACTCGTGTGCTTTTAACATGCAGATTCTAAAATGCTAAAACCTTGCAGCGAGTTCATAGCAACTAATGAGCGCTTTGGTTGCCATTTACTACGTAACAAAGGCATCCTGGGACACGCTGGTGTGGGGGTGTACGGCTTCATCATGGCCGCTGGATGGTACGCTTTCTTCTCTGCTCTTCATCACAGATTAACGACGATGCTCACTTTGCTTACATTCTGTCAGAGGTGAAAATCAACTGGAGTAACTGCAGTGTGAAAACGCCCCCCGACATGCTTTAACCTCACGGGGGCCACATGGAGCAAAAAAGGCAACTTCATATTAAATGTTGGTTTCAAAATGAAAACAATTGCAGCATTAATTTAAAATTTAAACAGTACCTGAGTGGCCCAATGATGGATTGGAAAGCCAACAAAATAGCAAGAATTTAGCATTGACAATTGAATCATGCCACAGCGCCACATAGTGGACAAAGATGCACACCAATGATCTCGATTCGACTTATTCTGAACCATGATCGTCGACCATGAAGGTTGGTCCGTCCCACGCCAGCGGTACTTAGAGAGACATACTTGTTTGGAGGTGGTACGCAGTGTCAGAACTTTGAGAACTGTTCCATACTGTAGCATAGATACTTGTGTTACCATGGCGATGCTCAGGCCTGTTCATTCTCAGCTCTTAGTATTTCATTCACTCCTTAGCTATCTGCTCCATCAGGCACCCTGGATGGTCTTTTCCCACCACGCTCCTGCCCTGGTGTTTAACTCTAATGATCTCCCACCGTGTTGTGTCTGCAGTGCTGTCAGTTCTACTGCTGATTGTGTGGAGACACCGGCGGAAGCAGCAGGCGGAGCAGGATGTGAAGGTGACGGAGCTGGAGCTGCCTGAGATGGTGTCTCAGAAGGTGCTGTATTACCGAGACGCTGCGGGTGACGGAGCAGAGCTGGGTTACCACCAGAGTTCAGATGTTCCTCTGCGTCGCCACCCAAACCGGCGCAGGGACAGGAGGCTGCGGAGGGAGGAGGTCAGGGCCAGCATCCGAATGTCTCTGAACATCAGGGACTCGCACCTGATCGGACCGGAGGACGAGGTCTTCAGGCAGTTCATTATAGACAGGCTGGCGGAGGCCGACCAGGACCCTCACGTCCCTCCGTACGACTGCCTGAGGATCTACGCGTACGAGGGCTCAGGGACTCCCACAGGGTCCCTGAGTTCTCTGGAATCCTGGATGTCGGAGGCTGCAGCTGAACCACCTGCCTCAAATCCCAGGCCCTGTTTAGTGAGACTGACACCGTGGTACGGGACAGGAGTGGAGGACACTACCTTCTGAGATGATGCTCTCCACGACCTTCCAGGTGATGTCAGTTTGAGGCGTAGCTGCCAGTTCATAAACAGAACACGAACCTCGTGATATTCATAACAGTTTTACTGGTATTTTATAACATATTATAGGTGTTTGTACTCTGAGTGTATTTGTATTTTACTCCTAGATTACGTTGACTTTCCTCTGATTGAAAAATCCTATCTGATTGAAAATTTTTTTTGGTTTCATTTTGTGGGGCAGATTTTGATCTTATTTTCCTTCTTATGCTATTTATATCAATACACTTTGCTGAACACTGACTGGCTACAAAACACTTTTCCAGAAAAGTTGACACGCTGCGCTTTCTTCAATTCCTTGGACTTTTTCAACAGAGATGAAAACATCTTTAAGACAAAAGGTTTGTCAGAACGTATGACTTCCTGCCGACCTTTCAAAATTCACATCACGGTGGCTTCTTCCAGTTCTTATACATCGTCTATGATTTGACAACGTTTACGCCATGAATTTTAAACTGATCATTAACATATATATTTGGAACGTACATTTCCCTAAACGGGAGTGTTGTTTCCTGATGTGTGAGAAATGAAAGTTGACACAGAAGAGAAGACATCCATTAAATATCAAGTGTTTAACATGTATAATGCTGTATAATGTGGTCCCTCTGCTTTTCTGTTGAGTCACCAGAGAGTCCATCACACAATCTGCGTGAGCCAATCAGCAGCTGAGAGGGAGAGTGCGTCAGAAAAAGAAAAAAAAAAAAGTCTGGTAAAGTAAGAGTCAGAGAAGAAGAAGAAGAAGAAGTTGTGAGAGGATTGATCTGAAATGTATAAAGAAGTGAAACTCTGGAGGAACTTCATAATAGACTCACTCTCTTCTCCCTCACAGTCATTTACAGCATTATTGGCTGCATTCTGCAGTGTGTGTGTGTGTGTGGAGGGACGGGTGGGGGGGGGGTGTGTGTGATGATGTGGTCCCAGCAGCCCTTCACCTTCTTAGCAGCTAATTGGTTTGTTTGCAGTCTGTGAAGGTCAGCATTTGGACCACACCGAGAATGAAGTTCTCACAGAAGAAAAACAGCAGCGAAGAAGAAGAGGATTAGGGAATTATTCAGTTTTTTAAATTCCGTTAAGAGGGCGACTGTTCTGTCTGGGTGATGGAGTTGGGAATGAAAAATATTGAGTAAGCAGAAGGCATATATATATAGATATATATTTTTCCCATTTCTTTAGAATGCTGAAGAATAAAGTGCGACAACTCATGATAAAACCTGATCTGAAGAACTGATGGAAGAGAAACATTTCTGAGATTAGAATCCTAAGAGTTGATCCTGAAATTTAGAGCAGAGAAGGGATTATAGTGAGACAATTCAAATTTCCAAAATTTAAATTTTATCACCAAAGATTGAGATTTAAGATTTTAATAGTAGAACTGGAAGAATACAATTGATATTCTGTGGTAGAATTCAAAAAGTCGGAGGTCTGGGTTTTGTAACAGATCTTAATTTCTTAACGTTAATATTCTCTTTGAAGAGGAAGGTAGGGATTATAATCAGATTATAATCACTATATATACAGTAAATATCTATATCTATATATATATATATATATTTATATATAAATCCGTCTGACCTCAGAATAGCTTCAGTTCTGAGGTTATATTTGACAGCAAGTCCTGAGGAGAAGAACTTAATTGTCTTTTCAAATACTTTTTTTTTATTTCCACGGTGACGTGTTTGGTTTCCACACACCACCATTCAACTCAAATTCAACTCAAAGCTTCTAATGTAAAAAAATAAAATAAAAATCTAAAAATTCCTTTTTACCCCCGAACACATCTTTTCAGAATCAATCATTTTCTTCACAATTGAAGAAAAAAAAAAATCAGATGTCTCCACAAAAAAAGATAGAAAAAAAAAATACATTTTCCTCCTTTTCTCAATTCCCCCATTAAGACAGGAGTCATTCGGCTCCTGGTGTCATTTAACCTTGTGAATTTCTATCACAGCCGTGGTGAATATCACGGCTAATTTAACCTAACAGCCCCCTTTCTTTGTGTAATTATAACCATTTGGGCGAATGAAGAATTTCTCTGTCCTCTGCTTCTCCCCATGCAGGTTATAGATTCAGCCTCTCATGTCCGACCTCGCTGCCAAACTCATCGCGCGCCGCCACAATGGTCACTCCAGGGTCTTTTGGCAGACAGTGCAGCTTATTATTGAATAGATGCCTGAAAGGATTCTGTGAGTCGTTTTAAAAAAAGAATGTCTGGCAATTGTGTGTGCCTTTAAGCTGAGGGCGGGGAGATAAAATCATTTATGTGCCTTTTTTGTGCTGTAGACATCATTATATGGGGGATCATATTCCAGTGGAATGGAAATAGAATGTAATAGCAGCTGTCATCGTCCAACAAGAGTCGGCCATGTGCGCTTGAACGCTCGCTGCTCTAACATTACATCTATAGACATAATGTGCAGAATACACAGTTAAAGACCGTACCCTGTGATCGTGGATGTGGGGTTTTTTCTATATGAATGAATGGAGGAAGTGACATAATGATGAATGCACAAAGAGACAGCCCAGCATGGTAAATACTTCTGTTTTAAAGTATTTTCTCCTGATGATGTATACGCTGCTGTCGCAACGACACGGGGCTACAGAAAAGGAAATAGCGGAGCTCGTCACATCAGAAAGAGGGAGATTAAGATCTGGCAGAATGTATCAAGCTCAGGAAGCACATTTGGCTGTGAGTGGTGGCGCTGCACACTTTGATGGACGTCTCTTGTTGCATCAAATGTGTCATTTTCCGTGCTCATCAAGCGCCTTGATTTGTTTTTTTTTTGATAGGTAACAGTTGGAGGACTCAGAAGTGAGTGCCTGTTAATCTCAAGTCGTGCTTAAGGTTTATTTTTAGTGAAGCTAAGGATGGAAATAAAAAAGACGTGACAGAAAAACAATTATTTTTAGTGAAGCTAAGGATGGAAAAAAAAAAAAGACGTGACAGAAAAACAATGATACATGATTGGCTGTCAACCGTCCGACGCTGCCTTGTGTTCTACGTCTCTCGCTTTTGGAAAATTAAGCAGCCAGTGAAATATTTTAGGTGCTACGTATACTAAAGAGAGGCCACTAGAGGGCGTTGGGTCAAAGGTCAACCAGATAATTAGTGGTTTTCTCATTTCAGTGCTGGGATGCCTTAAACCGTTTCTCTTAAGTTTCTCAAAAATTACGTTGTTGTTTCCTTCTGGATTTGATTGAAGTCCAGGTTGTTGACAGAAAGTAGTTTGTCAAGGTTGTCGGTCCAAGTCCAAGTCAGTTAGTCACATGACGTTTTTTACACGCCAAAGGTCCTGGGTTCGAAACCCCAGTGGATCTGTGTGTTTACTTTACTTGGAAGTCACGTTGAAAAATCTGCTAAATACAAAATAAAACATGTTTTCACACATTGGAATTACATATTAGAAATGTCATGCACCATACTTTTATATTATTCCATTAAAAATAATGGCACTGCAGTCATCCAGTTATAATCTAATCACATCCGTTCAATTCACACAGGCAGTCACGAGTCACACCATTATCACCACAGCATGTGTTGTGATGTTAAACTGACAGTGAAACGTGTTAAGACCTCTGTGTATAGATCTAACGAAATCAATTTCCTGTAAACTTTTCCGTGGCGTTCACATGCATTTTTCAACTTCGTTCTTCACGTTTTTCCGAGGTCAGAGAGTTCCTCAATATAAAATTAGATTTAATATATATATTTCATTGGCAAAGCTTTAAGATCCTCTCATGGAGAACTAATTGGTTGCATCTTGCGGGTGTGAAAAGCAGGGTCTAAACAACGTTTAGTCTCTGCTGATCATAGTTGACATTATCATGCATGTGGGGCAGCTGTAGGTCCAGAGGTTCTCACCTGACATTAGGATGCCTCTCCACATGCGTCTCAAGTGACCACTGCTGATTGGATATCAGTTTCTCCGCTCTATATGCAAATAAACACCATCATTGCTATTTGCAAAGACTTAATTTGATGTCGCGTTTAGCCGAGCGTGACAATGACACTGGGGTCATCGAGGTGCCGCGTGTTTGTAGGACCTTGTTTAGAGACCTGGCTTTAACATCTATCCCTGATAATGTGTTCCGTGAGTGTACGATCCCTGGAGATCGTACAGGAGATGCTCCGAGGATGCAGATCTGATGTAGCATTAGGGAAAAATGGTAGAAGTTAATGAGAGGCGGAGTTTGAACATCCTTTCCTAGGCTACAACCCAGGAGCCTTCTGGCCTGTTACTTAATTTTTGATTAAACAAACTGAAATCTGAAACTGGAATATTCAGCTGCATTGTTAATAATAAAATATTCAAAGATAATAGATATTACACAGCTATTTAATATATTAGAAAAAAATAAAAATCAATACCCAGCTATTTAATATATTAGAAAAAAAAATCAATACATGTCCTAAATTCCGTCCCACTAGTTTAATGACACAGTCCAAGGTTAAAAAAAAAAGTTTTTTCCATGACACAGTCCAAGGTTAAAAAAAAAAAGAAAAGTTTTTTCTTGTAAGGACAGTTTCATTTTTTTAACAATGAAGAAGGAATGAAGAATGTCCTCTGGTCTGTAGTCGTACATTCTCAAAGATCGGTAAAGAAAAAAAACAGCTGGTTTTTGGAGATGGAGAACCTTCCACTAACACTTAACAGAACAAATTCAGTGACAAAAAATGAAACCTTGAAAGCCAGTGTCTAGTATTGAATCATTTTCAAGGTCCAGTTTTGAGGTAGAGGGGTTTAATGTAGTATTTATTTCTCACAACCACGTAATATCACAGTTTATCATGAAACAAACGGCCTTGGAAAATTGCAGAGTACAATTCCCACAAAGTGAGATTTTTTTAAAAATTTATCTTTTCTTAAAAGTCTCTTTTGGAATCTCAGAAATTAAAGCAACAGAGCCTACAGTTAGTCACCCCCACCTGTTACCAGTCAATCATAAAATTAACGTAAGAACATGACCTGCCTGTCAAGTCAAAATGAAATGTACCCAGACTGGGGGAAACCAGAGGAACTACAGTTGTTTTAAAGAAGAGAAGTCATCTTTGATTGAAGACTGGCAGCTACCAGTAATATCTTTAAAAAAAGTATTTTTAAAGGTTATTTTTTTATGTGCTAGTTTTCTGTTGTTCTTGCAGCCTAATTAGAAAGACAAAGAAATTCGTTTTTTTTCTCTCTCTGTGTCGCCTACAGAGTCAGTGATGGTGTTGATCTGCTGCCAAATTCATCAAAGATCCTGGAGGTGACGTGGGTCCAATCGATTGAAAACCTCGTAAATACAATTTGTTAATCAGCTTGGCTTCCAAATGATGGAATTAAAAATAGATAAGTGGATGGATGGACGAGTGGTTGTGTGGGTAAATGGATGGATGGATGAGTGGATTGTTGGATGAATAGATGGATCCAGTAATAGTAGCCATTTACAAAAGATAGAAAGAAAGATTTAATAATATTTATTTGGGCATGGCTTAAGCTCTGCAGGAAGTGCAGTTGTCTACTTACCTTAAGGGTTGTTGGTTCAATTCTAGACTGTGTAGGTTATTCGCGGCCTCATTGGCATCCATGCTGTCAGCAGCTAGAAATATTGGAATGAGAGCTGAGCTGAGCTGAGTAGACCAGACTGTTGACCTCCAAGACACAAACAGTTGAACAAACTGTTGGGGTTCCTCTTCCATGATGACATTTACATGCATGATGGCTGAATGCAAAACTGGCCCCAAACTGACCGATGACTCAAGACGTGCCCTAAACCACATGCCCTTTCAAACAGGGGGAGCAAACCTCCTCAATGTCATTGTCTCTCCCACATGTTGAGTGCCTAGTTTGCCATGCAGTACAAGGTCTCCAGGACTGTTTAGTATTCACCCACTTGAGTTTCCTAAAGGTTACCAAACCTAATTAGACATTTATGCAGGATCTTCAAAGGTCCCTCCGTTATTAATGATGTGCTACTTCTGAAGACTGCATCGATGGCTTTTTTTTTTTTTCTGACTCCAGGAGCACACACTCCTCACAATGTGCGCATACACAATAGAGACACAATGCACACATCCAAAGTGCAGTTGGAGGCGACTGGTGGCTGGTAGTGAGGAATTAATCACTGGTGGTGAGATGCTGGAAAAAACCAGGTCACATCACTATTTCTACTACTGTGGGATTACCAGAGATTAAATACCAACCTCCCAGATTTTCTGTCTCCTTCGACACTACCTTTCTATAAACCAGATCATCATGTTTCCTTCATCAATGAACCTTTGTGGTTCACTTAGCTGTAGGTCTTGATCTTGAGACGATATGTTGCTTTTCATTTATGTATTTTATATTTTACTATGTGTTTGTATACTCTACATATATATATATATATATATATATATATATATATACATATATGTATGTCCAATATATGTATGCACATTATATCTATGCATATATACATATACATGTGTACATATATACATGCAAACATATGAATGCGTATATGTACATTTATATGTACGTTTATACATATGTGTACATATATGTACACATATGTATAAACGTACATATACATGTACATATACGCATTCATATGTTTGCATGTATATATGTACACATGTATATGTATATATGCATAGATATAATGTGCATACATATATTGGACATACATATATATATATATACATATATGTATGTCCAATATATGTATGCACATTATATCTATGCATATATACATATACATGTGTACATATATACATGCAAACATATGAATGCGTATATGTACATGTATATGTACGTTTATACATATGTGTACATATATGTACATATGTATAGTATCCTTGACCTCTGAAGTTGTCTGTTTTCTTTTGCAATTTTTCACTAGTCATTTTTTTTAATTCCTCCTTTAAATATTTTACTATTTACTTTAAATATTTCTTTTTGTAAGAGTTTCAGACTAATTCCCTGCCACTTCTTTCAGCAGTTTTTAAAGTTTTTACTTTTTAAAACTTTTTAATCATTTTTATCCAAAAAAAAGTAATCTTTAAATAAAAAAAGAATAATGACAGATGAGTTTCACATGAGTGAAAAGTTTAATCATGAAACCAAAAGCATATCATTTTAGGTGGAAATAATAATTAAACACACACAGAAAGGACGTTTCTACAACATTATTTTCTAGGATTTTCTAAGTTTTTGTATAATTTTAAACTAAAATCCCTGATCGTTGTTGTGCAAAAACTTCAAACCAGAAGTAAGAGTCTAAAAAACAACAAACTTTTTCAGGCTCAACTTCCACCTCCAGCTTTTCTGCCCTTTAACACCATTAGGCGGCCATCTTTACACCCACTCCACCACATGCCCCTGCTGGATGTAATTGGCAAGACACTACAAATAAAATTCAATTTCCATTTATTATTTACATTTGGGTTTTAATCAATTATGAATGACAGCTAATTAGTGGCGCGCAAAGGCCATCGCTCTGCACACTGTCAGAGTCGACTAAAGTCCTACTGTACGGCACGAAGCGCGGACGTTGACAAAAAAAACCCTCTCCGCTTTACAGATCTGGGTGTCTTTTTTCTGAGGACACTTCACTAATCATTTGTGAAAGTGTGCGTGTGTGTGTGTGTCTGAGAGAGAGAGACTGTGCACGTGTTTGTTAATAACAAGGCAAGTGAGAATGAAGAGGAGCTAAACTGTGTAAGTCATTTCTCATTTTCTCTGCTTCACTGCCTGACAGAAGAAAGACCCGAGTTTTTGAGTGATGGCGCCGACAAGTGAAAAGTGAATAACAAGACTAGAGGCTGCGGGAAAAGAAAGGGACCAAAAAAAATGTAAGAAAGAAAGAAATATAATAGTGTTAGTTGACTATTTGAATAGAAGAAAGTGTGATAACTGGTGGACTTTCTTGTGAGTTACTGAAGCGAGTGTAAGAACAGAATCACTTTTTTTCTGGTTGTTGGCATTTCCTTTTGTTGCTTCGCGCCTCAGTTATATTTTTACCGCCATAATCTCCACGGTGTTGTTGATAACTTCCTGTGTTGTGCCATAATAAGAACCTGTCATGTGAAAAACTCCCTGTTGTGCGAACACACAGTAACGTGGGTTATGCGATAGGGAGACTTTTGGCTGCAGTTCCTGAGAAATGAACCAGTGTCTTTATCGCTATTTGCTCTTGTATCTTTGAGAAAGTGTCCGAATATAATAAGACCTGGAAATGAAAAGAAAGTAGGAAAATGGATGGAACTAGTTTGGTGACTTGTTGTAGTCATCGAATCTCGGTTTAGACTCAGAATCAATTCCTGGGAAGTAGTGAAACATTTTTCTCTGATCCAGACTTTGTCTTTAAACTCTACGGTCCTGACCATGAGGTGCTCACAATTTGTGAAAGTGTGCGTGTGTGTGTGTGTCTACATGCGGGAAAAGAAAGGGACCACTGTTTGACAAGGACTGGGTCAGACTGGGTCCCTGTGAACTCTGACCCAAGGACCCTCAGTCAGGCTCAGAGGGTCCCTATGACTTCCGGACCCAGTTTTTTTTTTTTTTTTTCAAAAAATGTTTCCAGAAATTTTTATTTTAAAAAGAATTTTCAAGAAATAAAAAAAAAAAAAATTTTTTGAAAAACTTTCTTGAAAAAAAATTTTTTTAAAAAAAGGTCTTGAAAAAAAATTTTATAAAAAAAGGAAAGGAAAGAAGGGAAGGAAGAAACTAAAAAATGTTTTTTTTAATTTCTTGAAAATTCTTTTTAAAATAAAAATTTCTGGAAAAATTTTTTGAAAAAATTTCTTGAAAAAAAATTTTTATAAAAAAAATTTCTTGAAAAAAAATTTTATAAAAAAAGGAAAGGAAAGAAGGAAAGGAAGAAACTAAAAAATGTTTTTTTTAATTTCTTGAAAATTATTTTTTTTTTTAAATTGTGACTTTACAGATATTTTTTTTCTTTGACAAAAAGGGAAAAAGAAATCCAACGCAAAGCACTGTTTATGTTTACAAGTCACATCCCAACACATTCTGTCGCGACCAGAAAATGAAGTGTAACATGGAAAAAAAATTACCTCTACAGTTGGCACGGGTACAGTTTTGGAAGGACCTTTCAAGGGCCTGATTTAATGTGAGAGCATCAATCGTTGAGCAGCACACGGCCGTGACAGCAAGTGAAAGTAATCTCTTCTTTATTAATGGGACTTTTCACTTAGGACCCGGGGCCTTTGGTATTCTGTAATAGTAGCTTCGTGCTACAGACCTGAAGGAAAGAACAATATGAAATCAGATCAAGTGGATGTGTGATGAATGATAAGCCAAAGGTTTCTTTTTTTTCTTTCTTTTATTCCAGCGTGCCTTAGAGGAAAAGATGACGAGAGAAAGTTTGTAGAAATGATGATGAAGAACACGTTATACGGTGGTTAAAAGTTCAGATATTGGACTTTTTACCTGTGATTTTAAAGGTCTTCTGGATGCCGGAGGTTGAGCCTCATTATTTGACTAAACAATTTAAGGCCAAGTTCAGCAGTATACTAGAGCCCATTTAAGTTTGTAAACATTTTTTAAATTCATCCCATTACAGTGAGTGGTTAAACAAAAAAAAAAACATATTTGTTGTGAAAATATCTCAGGGAATAAACAGTTTCACGCGGAGGACTTTTTAATCCCTCATTACCGTGTTCAACAGTCTGTCAGCAGTGTCCAGGTGAAGGTCAAACACAGTGATGTCACAACGTATTATCAGTGAATGATAGCCAATCAGCACAGGGCACTGACACAATGTTTATTTTTTTTTCTTTCCCTGATTAATATAATGAAGAATCACCTGAGTCCCCACTGAGACACACTCCGACGCCCATCTTCATTCCCGTCGCCGTCTCCTGAGAACTACACGTAGAAGGTGTCAGCCATATTGACGGAGCGGGGAGTCCGCGGAGGCCCCTCATTTTCTGACTGAACGGTCACAGAAAGAGCTAATGATATATGCTATTGTGGAACAGAAGAGTTATGGGAAAGGCCCAAACGTCGGCGTTCCCAATTATCTCGAAGGCATTTCTTGCGCGGCGTTTTCGTCACGCAAACAAACCCAAACGCGAATACAAATAACATGTGCAACGGCAGCTGCGGAGACTCAGGGACCGTCTGACAAAATGTCAGGGATCAGAAAGGGAGCGACTGTAGAACGTGCTTGAACAGCGATTACACCTACACATTTTAGTTCAGCAGAGAAAAGCCAAAAAAAAAAAAACAGACATCGTTTGTATCTCGTTAGTTCAGCAGAGAAAAGCCAAAAAAATTAAAAAAACAGACATCGTTTGTATCTCACTGTGTGACATTTCCATCTTTGTTTCCTCTGAGAACAATTAAAAAACATCTTTCCTCCATAACAATGTCACAAAACTCAGATGGATGTGGGAGACGGTGATCAAGAACTTCAGATTCTCTCCTCTTCTTCGACCCTCCGTGTTGAAACTTCGTCTTTGTCACAGACTGAAGTAAAACAGGGATGTTGTGTTTGGAGTTGTGGGCGTGGGGAGAAGTGGGAGGAGGTGAGGTTTGAGAACCAAGAGAGACAGAGAGACATTTGTAAAAACAAATGTTTTTGAATCACTGCTTTGGCTGTACATGCACTGGCTGGCACCTGTACAGCTACTTGATGCAAATCTCAGTTGACCAATCATAGGGCAGCAAAACAGTGCATTTGGGTATTTTCAGTTTATCAGACAATCTGAGAAAATCCACTGAGTGACAGTTCTCTGGGTTAAAAAAAAAGGAGGCTAATAAGAACTCTATCTGACAGAATGAGTGACAGTTCTCTGGGTTAAAAAAAAGGAGGGTAATAAGAACTGAACTGACAGAGAGTTTAAACAGTTTCCTTAAATATTTCTGATATTTTCTGACTTGTTTTTATTATTTTATAAAACATCATCTACAGATCATCATCAACAATAAACACTCAACGTAAGTCATTAACCCTGAGTCACATTCCCATTGACAAAAGAACAAACCAATGTCAGATTTTTTATATATAATAACTGGTTTTTAGCAAATTACTGCAAATGTTTTACCAGAAACTGTTGACAGAAAGTTGAGTTTAAAATAGTTAAAAATGTTAAGTAAAATTAAGATAACATAAAAAAAGCCAAAGTTTTGCCAACAATCAATGATCTCTAAGTCAACAATTGTGTAATATTTAGGAAAAATATTAAACAAACATAAATGAACATCCCTTAATCATTTATTTTCTTTCTGTTTCTAGCTACAGAAATCCCTGGAATTTGGAACTGAGAATGCTGTCCACAGACGGATCACAGTGGGAGAGACAGGAGCTCAGCAGTGACTGTGTGGGATCCTGTCATGTCACTGTGTCAGGGAGCAAACTCTGAGGGGAAGGTTTCTGACATCTCAGTTCATCTACAGTATACCCCCCCCCCTCACCCCCCAAAAAAAAACCCCAAAAAGAAAAACAAGTTGAAGTTGAAGTGGAGGCAACGAGAGCTTTGGTCCAAACCATGATCCCTCTGAGTGGCTTCACCTGGGAATGTATTTAAACATTTCCTGTTTGGCTTTGGGCTTAACTGCATATGGTCCCCCGCCCCCCCCCTCTAACCACTCCAGCCCCCACAACCACTGCTGCCCACACCTTCCCTCCTGTCTTCATTGCTGCCTCCAGTGTGTGCAGCATATGGCCATTGTGATGGAGGGTAAAGGGAAATGACAGGCCATTTGAAGATGCTCTGGTGTTCATGTCATGAATAATGCAGAGGGTGCAGCGAACAGGGTTCTTAGCGCAGGCTTCAAAGTTTATCGGCCTCCGCCGTCTCCCCCCAGAGAGAGTAGGGGGGGGGGAAAGAGAGACTATGGTGTGGTGAGAAGATTAGACCGCCACCGAGCACAGACCTGGTCAAACTCGATTAAATACAACCAGGATAATTCCATCGTCTCATAGAGACGTTGGATTTTATTAGAAAAATAATCTCGATGTTCTCACGGCTCAAAATGTGAAAAAAAAAAAAAAAAGGAGAAAACAGTGGGTGAATTATTAAACAGGAGGGTTGACTGTTTGCTCAGTCACTTTGTGTAAAAACTATGCAAATTGCCGGACGTCAGACGACATGATGGATGAATATTTTTATTAATTATGTCGGACGGACACTGAGTTCAGCAGAGAGGACAGAGGACAGTCGGGAAGTGGAGCCTCCCCCAAGTTTTGCATCTCTATTAAAAAACACAGATCAGTCGACGGCTGTCACCGCTAAAGCTGGGAACAAATGGACAAATATTATCTGATGAAAGGTTTTTTTTTTTATTTAAAATTCTGTTCACGTTATGTCAGGAACTAGAAAAAGTTGGCTAAGTAAATCTACCAAAAAAGAAAAAAATATACAAAAAAAGTTGGCTAAGTAAATCTACAAAAAAGAAAAAAATATTAATAGCTTTTGCGAAGCTGAAATAAGATCTTAAGAAAACATTAAAAACGTACCATTTGTTAATATTTAGTCGTTTCCCGCCACACCGTTGTAGCTATCTGACCGTGTAGCACCTGAGCTAATTGATGAATGAAAGTAATTAGGAAATAATACATTGAAGACTTTTGTCTGAGATGATTGGTGAAAAAAAAAAAAAATCCCTGTGTCAGTCCAACATCAGTATTAATGAGCCGTCATCTTCACACAAACTCTAATTAGCAGCACTTTCTGCTCTTCCACAGGTTTATCATCATTAGCCAAGCCTGGACTGATCCTGGATCTGGACCCGTGGGTGGCGTAAGTGTTTGTTTATCATGTCGACATGGAAAACAGTTACATGCCAGAGCAGACTGAGCCTCGGCAGCAGCAGCAGTGGCAGCAGCAGTGGGGCTGTTTCTACAGGTTTACTTCAGTGCCATCAGGAGGGAAGTGGGGGGGGGGGCTTCAGGGCTAATTAGATCTCCACAGACTGAGGAGAAGAGAAGACGGAGGCGTGCATATTTGAACAAACAGACAGAGGTTTCCTGTAGGTGGAAGATCTTTTTTTTTCTAATTTTCCATCTTTTATACATTAAAATCAGGATGATGGACAATTCAAATATCAATGGGACGATTACACACCATCAGCTAAAGGCTGTGTAGCATTTTTGCGCATTTAGTGGCATCATTACAGCACACTCAAAGTCAGCTTTAAGTAATATCTTGGCCCAGATGAAGCTGTTTTGTTATTTAGTACCGTCCTATCTTGGAGCTGTTTCTTTCCTTTTTTCTTTTTTTTTTTGGCTCCAGGTTTGTTTCGTTGCTGCAGGAGCATGTTAAAAAAAAAAAAAAATCCCAGTGAAACCCATAGTCAACTAGACCACGGGTTCTTAAACTTTTCTATGCCAAGACCCCAAAAAAGCACTAGCACAATTTATTTATTTCAATTTCAAATGTTGATATACACTTTAATATTTATTCCATTCCTTTACAGTAGTATAAGAACATTATTAACAAGCACAAACAGAATATGATGTCATCATGCCCGAGTTGCAGCTCTTCTACCTGGTGCGTTCAGGTGCCATCAGAAACTTGAGAATTGGACGACAGTATTTATGTTATCAGCTTCAGGACTAATACTTCCTTTCCTTTTTTTGATGAACTACTTTTCCAGTGTGTTACAGACACGAGTCTTTAAATTGAACTCTCAACCCTCTATATATGAAATTAACAAAATCCTTAATTCTTTCCAGGGTCATGTGAGGAGCTGGTCCCCTGAGTCATCGGGTGAGGGCAGCAACCTGTGACACCCTGTAATCTTCCTGGTTTTGGACCGTGGGAGGAAACACACCGAGAAACATCCAAACGCTATAAAACTATCAGTTACCACTGGGAATTGGACCGCTGACCTTTGTGGTAAAAAAGGTAAAAAAAAAAAAATACTAACCCATCCTCAACTGCATGGCCCTGGGCCTGATATGTGCTTTACTATAATCATGAGCATTTTTTTGGACTCAGTTTTTTTTTTTAAAGATGCTGTTCTTGACCTTTCAGAGTCGAGCGAATTGACAGAAAAAAAAAAATAAAAAAACTGAAAGCCTAGCATTACAGCTTGTTCAAATTTCCCATTTATTCCTCTTCCTCTCATCCCTTTCACATCCCTGTCCCATTTCACCAGGATATTGACGCATCAATTTTGAGTTATTTTCCACTTACTTCCTTCAATTTTTTTTGCTTCTTTTTTAACACCCTATTACCCTAATCTGACTACTTTGACCTACTTTTCTCTGTGAATTCATTCCCCAGGCACTCGACGAGCGAGCATACTGCTGCTGCTGCTGCTGCTGCTGCTGCTGCTGCTGCTCTCCCACTCACAGCCCTGTTACTTCTCAAGAGAATTATTTAGAATACGGCCCAGGTCTGGGACCATTCTAATTTCGCTGGAACTATGGAGTACACAAAACTCAGGTCTGACATTTCTCATGCTGAAGGCAGACAGGGGGCACGAGGGGAAGGGGGACGGGAGGGAAGGGGGAGGAGGGAGTGTGTGTGCACGGCGCTGAGAGAAAGACAGAGAATAAAACATGGTGCAGCGATGGCCTCTGATCTTCCATTCCTCCCCCTTTTCTCTTTTTCAAAGGAGCAGCGAGGGGCCGAACAGCCGCCGCCGCCGCGGCAGCAGCGGGAGCCTCCATCTCTCTGCCACCAACAGGCTGCTCCACCGGCACCAACCAACAGCAGATTATTTTTTATTTTGTTCTCCGACCATGAGGAATAAAAATGGAGCCAGAGATTCTTTAGAGGTTTGTTTCACACTGGGTAATGGCAGAAAGAAAACTGTTCACCTACACAAATAAATATGCCAGGACTCTGGACCCCGGCCCAGACCGAAGCCCCAGGTCCCCAAGTGGCTTCTCAGTCACAGGGCAGAGGGACGGGCGTCTTATGGTTGAGATGAACGTCTCAATAGGAAATATATATATGTATATACATATATGTGTATGTATATATATTTATTTATGTATGTATATGTATATATATATATATATATATACATATATACACATATTTATGTGTACATATAGTATGTATGTATAAACAGACACGTATAAATATACATACTGTATATATTTACATATATACATAGAAGAGCAAAGGCTTTTTTTTGCTATTTACCTTATAATACAAAACATTTCATTCAGTTTCCTTTTCCTTTGCATAAGAACATTAAAAATGTTAAAAAATATAATATATAAATATATTTGTTAAATAAATGATGTCCACTGTCAACATTTTATTCTGCAACATTTCTACATTTATGTGACAGTTTTTCAGAGCTAATGATCACATTCAGGTAAAAACATCAATGCTTTTGAGAAAAGAAAGTCGACAGCAGAGAGTAATGGTTTGATGAATGACACTTGTCCTCCTCTACAGAGAGTGATTGGTGTAAGAGGCAGCGCTGAGGTCACAGTCTATTAGTGATGTTCCCGGAGACAATCAGAGGCCAGTCCTGTCCTGTCCCTCATCGCTGCACCAAGACTCTCCGTCAGGATGATGTGATGACGATTCGTGCTGATGATAAGGATCCGGTTCGAAGTCTCTCTCCTGGGGACCTGAAGTTTTTTTTTTAAATGCTAAGGTACAAGGGCCAACAGAAATAATCAGCCAGACTTCAGATAAAGCTCCTGATAGCAGACGGTGATTCCACTCTGACTGAGAGATGGTCAATCAAAATCAGAATCCGGTTAGAGGTTCTTTCAGTACTGTTGGAATCTGATGCTGCTCTCTGGAACTTAAGATAACAAAGCAGGATCACTTTTTTTTTTACAAAAGTTTAGTAGGTTCAGAGGTGTAAAGTAACAAATTATATATATTCACGTAACTGCAGTTGAGTATTTTTTGTGTGTAATTTGTAATTTTTTTTTGCATTTTTCTCTTTTACTTAAGTACATTTTAACTCAAGTATTTTACTTTGCTACATTTGAAAATAATTAATCAAACTGATCAAAATTAAATGCGGAGAAAAACAAACTTCTTCAAAACTGCGTTCGGATTTCCCACTGTT